AAAAAAAACGCATTGATGTATAGCTTGCTATCAGTCTATCCGTTCCTCTTGTTCTTTTATACATTTATGATTGATTTAATTCCATTCGAACATCATTGGAATTATTTATTTACATATTGTTTTCTCCTTTTATTTGATTATTTATCCATGTTATTGCATTACCGATAACTTAAAATTATCCATATCCTTGTCTGCTACTCCCATTATAATATATTATAGATGAATTTTTTTTTCTTATAGTAAAGTTTTTATTTACTTCTATCCTTTTATTCTACTGCTCAGATTAATATGCTTAAATTTATCAATAATATTTTTACTATTATTTATTTATTATCTTTATTTTATTTTTTAACTTAATTCAAGGTATAAAATTTCTTACACTATCTTTATCCCTCTCTTTTTTTTTCCAACAATAAAAATTTTATATGATCTTTTCATTAATATTTAATACAATAGTAGATTAAAAAAAATAAAATTGCATAATTCATACTTTATACTTCACCAAAATCTCAGGGTATTTTTTTCGTCCTTGGATTTTTTTTTTTTTTTTTTTTTGCCTATTAAAAAACTTGGATTCAATTCAAAAGTTTGGATAAGATTTTAATTGATTTGGTTTAACAAATAAATAGACAGAAGATATGTGAAAGACTGATAATTCTTTCATCTTTATTTTATAATTAGTTATGATAAAGGTGTTATTTTTATCTCTCAATTTATTTATTTTTAAAGAAAAAATCTTATTAGTTAAGATAGGACAGTAAGTTATATCTTTAGAAAAATATTCACTCTTTCCATTTGATTCAAAAGAATCTTATTTACTATCTTTCCATTTAAATTCAAAAAAAAAAAAGATATCTTCCAATTTAAATTAAATATTATTATAAATATTTTTCCTAAAATACCAAGTAGCTTTATAATACTTTGCCACTTTATTTAACCATAATGCAAACTTTATTCCTTTAATAATATATACTAGTCTCTCTGAACGCGTGTTGCACGTTTATCTCATATCATTATTATAAAGTTTGTATTGCAAAATACTGAATTTTTATCACATGCATACTTTAAGAATCGTTTTTAGTTATAAGGGCATTTGGACACACATTATTTGCAACTCAATGTTTATTTTATAATTTTATCTATTATTTTAATTTTAATTTTAGTTTTAAATAAAAAGATTTTGAACCTAAAAATATTGTTTGAGTATCTCAAAGAAAGTAATGTTTCCCCCACAAAAGTTCTAACTTCTTCTGTAAGTGAAATTCATGTCAAACACAGTTCTAACTTCAAATTTAACTTAAAATACTAATGTTTCAAACTTCAACCAAATATGATCCAAACATAATCTTTTAAAATAAATAAGTATTCAGTATATGTGGTTAACAATCGTAAAATGAATTTCTTTTTTGTTGGTTAACATTATATATATTTTTCAAATATTAAAAGACACTTTCAAAACACACACACACACACACACACACATATATATATATATATATATATATATATATATATATA